CGATTTATAACGTATTAGCCTACAACTGACTGAGAATTGGAAGTCCATAATAAGGAAAATTAGTTCAGAGATATGATAAGCTTTCTAATTGTTGAAGCCAGTGAATTCGACCTTCAGTTAGAAAGTTATGAAAGAATCATGGACAATTTTGAAAAGTGACCACCTGGTCCTAAATGTCCGACTTGCTGAGTGTTGGTTTTTAGCAGTAATAGTTATCATTAGCGGCCCGGAACTGCAACATCACAGGGTGCAACCACAAAAAGGGTTATTAGCAACACCAGATTCAACTGCAGAGTGAGTTTTTAGCAACATTGGGTTCACCGTAGATCATGTTTTTAGAAATAACCAACTTAATGATGCCACAGTAGACCCACTTAAAAAAGACCTGGACAAGAGATAACAGTCGACAAGTAAGGTTTCAGCGACCGAAAGGTGGAGGGTGATCAAAGGTTCAAATTTGTAGAACCCTCTAAAAAAGGAGCCAATATTGTAAAACATATAAGTTGATGCAGGTGTGCTAATGTATGAAGAGAAGGCTTCAGCTTCAGCTTAGTGGTAGACATATAAGTTTGGGTGAGGGCGGTCAAAGGTTAAAATTTTTTAAGTTTGTACTAATTTCCGGTAGCCTCCAATATTTGAGGTATAACATAAGCTACTCTTCTCTAGATTAGTTTTACTTATTTTTTTAAAAAAATTCTCTATTTTCTATGTTTTGCTTCTCTAGCTTTTGTTTTTATTCTTGCTTAGTTTTTTTCTTTCTAGGTCTTTAAATCCCTTTTGAGACTTTTCTTTCTATGGTTTTGGTATTTTCTTATTGTTTCTGATTCTCATTGATTTGTAAGGAAATCTATTTCAACTATGGTATTGGCACAAATAGATCTAGACATCCATTAAGGGTAGAATTATAGACCAGCGATGTCAGGCAATTTTAAATACATTATTTGTTTTCTTCATGGATTTTTAGAATATCGTATAAATATAATTTTCCATCTCAAAATTTATTTGGGCTTTTTTTGTTGTTAAATTTTCCATTTGTTATGATATTTGAGAGCCTAGGGGTTTTATACGTAGGGAATGATGCAATGGACAGGACTTCACCTCATTAGAGAGGTTATATGTTTTGACATGATCTGTTTCAATTCATGTACAATAATAACATATCTATAATGGTTAACTGACATTATAAAAAACAGAAAGTTAAAAGCTCCATTTCTTTTTCAAATGTAATAACTAAAATTTGACCTCAAATATATATGTCCATGAGACATCACCTAGACATCAGAAATTGGCCTACATCATGTGATTTTGACTAGGGAGCCTGCACCGTCCCGATATCGATATATATAGCCATGGATAAGACCTGGATAAGAGATAACAATCGACAAGTAAGGTTGTCACCTTATATAAACTGAGCCATTTTAGGTACGGCATGACTTAATTTGTCTATTTTACATTGGATGTATCATTGGATTGAAAAAAATACCTATGTGATTTTTTGCCGGAAAAACACAAATTTTTTTTTTAATAATAATAATTCTTTATAATTTTGGCAACAAGATCACTCACAGATGGTCTTATTACAAATAATAGAAATTCCAAAATAAATAACACATCAATAAAATAAATCTCAACTACTTGATGTCATTCATACAACCTAATATTTTACTTGAGAATATAAATAAAAGAACTAGCTTCAATCTCGAACCGAGATAGCTGATTTCGGCCAAACTAGGTAACCACCCCTTAAAATCTCTACTAAAACTTTAACCTCCAAAATTAACCACAAAAATTAACTTAGGTTAGTTGATTTCGGCCAAACTAGGTAACCACCCCTTAAAATCTATACTAAAACTTTAACCCCCAAAATTAACTATCAAAATTAACTTAGGTCTAGAGAGGAGAGAGAGTACCACCTAAAACTTGGAGAGCGAAAATTAGAGGAGAGAGAGTACGGCGTGCCCCTCTAAGAGAGAGATGTTATGAGACAGAGAGAGCACCCCTATTTATAATGTAAATTTAGGTTTAAGTTTTTTTAGAGTTTTCCCATAGTTTGCCTCTTTCATTAGATTGAATCTAGACCGTTGATTAAGGTGACTTGTAGAAGGTGATGGAACATGGATGAGGTTTTTGGCCCCCATCTCAGCAGGCCCTACCATCACACACAAGGGTTACACAATCCCTTGGCTCTCTCATCTAAGCATAAGCTCGACCTCATCAAGGGCTAACCCAAAGCCCTCCTCGGTTAATTCTTTATGCCCAGGTACTTTGGGTTTCCAACCGTCTGACCTAGATCGATAAACACAGTCCGGTATAAGCAAACATCATTTACTTAGTATGGTCATCGAGAGACCACACTCCCATGGAGTTTATGTTTCACTATAATGAAAATATTTCATAAAGCCTTTAAAGGCCACATAAACCCAACATTACATTTATATGTTAATCCACACCAAAAAACATTTATGATTTTAGGCACGGGCCAACGTAGCGGTCGATAAATTTGGTAGCAATGCTATATTTTTTTGATACGGTTTTCCCATTTTAATTCGAGTGCTTCATTGGATCCCTTTTTGTGTTAATACACACCGGAAAACATTTACGACTTGCATTAAATTTTTTGACATTTTAAGGTTCTATACATTTTAAGGTTATAGAAGGAGATGTGCAGTGTTCATGCACACTCCATCATCTGCAACCTCTATCTCTCTCCCAAAGTTTAGTGTTTGTAAAAGGGGACTCTCTCTCTCTCTAAATTTACTCTCTGATGAGATCTATTTCTCCTACCCTATTACAAGCATGGACTACATCAAACAAGTTTGCTTTTACAATCACTTTTATTTGGCCATGAGGCACAGTCTTCTCATGTGGTTCATATCTCAAGAATGCAGATGGTGAGTTAGTTCTTCATGTTTATAAGATTTCATATTTGAGATTAAGGTTACATATATTTGCCTCTTTAACCATGTGTAGGTTTCAATCTAGAAGTAAGGTGCACCTCGAAAACCCACCATAAAAGGTGGTTTTGATGCATAAAAACCTCAAGATCATTTGATCTTATAAAAAAAAAAGAAGGAAAAGTTTATATAAGGGTGAGGGCCCAAACAATCAAATTAAGATGTGCCCCAAAAATTCACTAGAAGAGATTGTTTCAAAGCTAAAAAAACCCATGGACATGAAAAAAAATAGATTTCAAAGTTTTAGAAATTGTGCATCTTCTAATGTATTATCTACATAGTCAATTTTCAAGATTACCCAGTTTAAATATATATATATATATATATGGAAAAATCTTCCTAATGCCTATAGGCGAAAATGAATAGTGATTTCGCATATCTTCATCACCGTCCAAGTTTCATCGCACAGTCACGATTGTCGGGTAGTGTTTTATTTTATATTTTTTTCTATAAATCAGAATGACCTGAAATTTAGAAGGTATGTACATCTTACTGAGGCGCATCTAATAAAAATATAAAAAAATTATGGACAAATTTTTTTGACCAAAATACCCCCGAAAAGTTTTGGGGGTATTTTGGTCAATTTTTTTTAATGTAAAATATTTTTTGTTATATTTTTTAAAGATTCCCCTATTTTTGATGAATACACGCTCCAAATTTCAAGTCATTTCGATTTATAAGAAAAAAAATGAGAAATAAAACACTACTGGATAATCGTGACTGCGCGATGAATTTTGGACGGTGATGGGGGTAGGCGAAATCACTGTTCATTTTTGCCTATAGACGTTGTGTAGTGTTTTTCTATACATATATAGGGTAATGATCTTATAGGACCCTCTTCCATCCATGTGTATAGGACTCCAAATGATCGCCAATAAATTTGGCATGAATTCCTAAAAAAGTTATCACATGGGTGTAGGAATTGACTTTTTTTAGAGATACGTGTCAAATTTAATGGTGATCCTTTAGGGTTCTACACACAGGTGGGAGAAGTCCTATAGGATCATTATATATATATATATATATATATATAG